CGGGATCAGTGGAGCCGCGAGGCCTCCCAAACCTGAGATCAGCAGAGCCGTGAGGTCTCCCAGCACTGGGATCAGCGGAGCAGCGAGGCCTCCCGGCCTGGGATCAGTGGAGCCACAAGGCATCCCGAATCTGGGATCAGCGGAGCAGTGAGGCCTCTTAGCACCAGGATCAGCTGAGCAGTGAGGCCTCACTGCCCCTGTGTCAAGCGGAGCCTCGAGGCTTCCCAGCACCAGGATCAGCGGAGCAGCGAGGCCTCCTAGCACTGGGATCAGCGGAGCCATGACGCCTCCTGGCCCCTGTGTCAAGCGGAGCCTCAAGGCCTCCTGGTCCCTGGAGCAGCACAGGGGGCTGCAGCGCCCAAACCCCCTGATCACCCTGCGGCTCTGTGTGTGACACGGGGCGGGGCCCCAACCTCCCTATCCGCCCTGCTCTGTTCGTGACAGGGGAAGGCGCCCCAACCCCCTGATCCGCCCTGCTCTGTGTGTGACAAGAGGCAGTGCCCCAACTCCCCTATCGGCCCTGCTCTGTGCATGACAGGGGGGAGCTTCCCAACCACCTGATGGGCCGTGCTCTGTGCATGACAGGGGGAGCTCCCCAACCCCCTGATGGGCCCTGTGAGCCGGACCAGGGGCTCCCCCAGGGATGGGTCCTGCCCTCTGCCACCTGGGAGCAGGCCTAAGCCAGCAGGTTGTTATCTCCCGAGGGGTCCCAGACTGTAAGAGGGCACAAGTGGGGCTGAGGGACAACCTCCCCTGCCAGTGCACAAATTTTTATGCACCGGGCCTCTAGTAGATATATAAAAGCCTAAGGAACCAGAACGACTGGAATGACCAGTCTCTATCATGTGCACTGACCACTGGGGGCAGACGCTCAATGCAGGAGCTGCCTCCTGGTGGTCAGTGTGTACCCACAGCCAACCTCCCCTGGCCAGCCAAACTCCTGTGGTCCCTCGCTGGGATGGGGAACCAGGGGTGGGTGGTGGCAGATGCAGCCCCTTTCCCAGGGGGGCCGAGGGCCAGTTCCCTCTTGGGGCCAGCAGCCAACCTCCCATGCCCTGTCTTTCCTCCTGGCCGGCAGGCCCCGATTGGCCTTCTGCCTGCCCGCCACAGTGGTGGCACTGCAGCAAGGGAAGGAGGAGGGGGGAGGCAGGAAACCGTATGGTGGCAGGGCGCCGATGATGGCAGTTTCGGCATCTGGCATCCATTCCTTCTGCGCCTAGCTCAGCAACCATCGCCTCCTCTCTGACCCAGCCCTGATCAGCCTGGCCCCGATGGGCCCTGATTTCTGGCCAGGCCTAGGGACCCCACCCATGAACAAATTTGGTGCACCAGGCCTCTAGTTTTTAATAAAATGTTACCTAATTTGGCTCAAGTTCCACTCATTCCTTTCTCCTTCCCATGCAAGATGATTATTTTTGTACATTGCTGTTTGTAAATCATTGTTTTAGGTGATGGAGAGCCTTTGATGGTTATTGAGCAGGGCTATTACACTATTAAAGGGGTGTTTTGGGAAAATCAACCAAATTGCTGTGCCAGAGAGTTCATTAGACAAGAAGGTGGAGGTAGGAAAGCCAGTGAGGACACAGGTTATGGCTCATGGTGTATGGTATTAAGTATCTGAAGTAGAGTGAGAGACTTTTGCTTTTTTCACTCATGCTTTTGTGTGAAGTCTGCTCTTTCTGTTGCTATGACCTCCAGTCTTTCAACCCTCCTTCCTGATTCCCCAGTTCATCAAATACTTTCTATCATCACTGGCTTCCTTACCCAGCCAGGGTTTCATGGTTACTCATTTCACCCATATGCTTGCTACTGTCCCAGAATTCCTTGCTTTCTTGACATTTGAACATACCAACCCTGACTTCCAATCTTTATACTAATAGAACTATTTCTTCTGACTTGAGGAGGAGACCTTGCCTTTCTGATTTTACTTGATGACTTAGAGTAATTTGCTACAGTCAGTGTCCAAAATGAGGCAGATTTTCATCCAGATGACCTCAATGGACTCAAATCTATTTTGAACTAGGCTGAGTTCCTGAAATTACTCAGCCTTCTTTGGTCTTCACCAGAGGATGTAAGTGATACCTCAATACTGCCAAATTTATTTGTCTCAAGAGTACAATTTTGATGAACAATTGTGAAAACTGTCCAAATGACATTTAAAAATGTAAGTAAGCAGGTCAGATTTGGAAATTTCTTTTATCAACAAATGGATTTTGATTTTATTTCCATTACATGAACTTAGCCATCGGTCAAAGGTCAATTAAAACTTTTGATTGATTATACCTATTTTGCTTATAAGTATAATTACATCAAACCAATCATTTGGAGGCCAAATCTTTGTTATAGAACTATAGATAGATGCAACAACATGAATGAATCTAAAAAGAATGATGTTAATTGAAAGAAGCCAGACAAAAAGGTACCAAACTGTGTACTTCTATTTACATAAGATCTTAGAAAAGGCAAAATAATATATATAACAGAAAACAAATTGGTGGTTGTCTGGGATTTTGGAAGAAGGAAGGGATGAAGGGTTAAAAGATTACAAGGACAATTTTGGGGGTGATAGAAAGGTTTATCTGGATTGTGTGTGTGTGTGTGTGTGTGTGTGATTGTATCACAGGTGTATACATATGTCAAAATTAATTGAATTGTACATCCTATATAATAAAAGCCTAATATGCTAAGTGTCCGGTCGTCCAGTTGGCCATTCAACCAATCGAAGTGTAATAGGCTAATGATATGCTAAGGCCACTCAATGGCTTGCTATGATATGCACTGACCACCAGGGGGCAGATGCTCTGACTGTTAGTTTAGCTTGCTGCTGGGGTCTGGCTGATAGGGACTGAGCAAGATTGGCCGGACATGCCCTGGAGCCTTCCTGTAGTCCCTCCCCGGCTGGCCAACCTCCCTCGTCGCTCCCTGGCCCAGATCGTGCACCAGTGGGGTCCCTCAGCCTGGCCTGTGACCTCTCACAATTTGGGACCTCTAGAGGGATGTCAGAGAGCCAGTTTTCAGCTCAACGTCAGAATGACCGGTCATTATGATGCACACTGACCATCAGGGGGCAGATGCTCAAAGCAGGAGCTGCCCCCTGGTGGTTGGTGTGCTCCCACAGGGGAAGCGCTGCTCAGCCAGAAGCTGGGCTCATGCTTCCACGGTGGGGCTAAGGATGTCCGTCTGCTGGCTTAGGCCTGCTCTCCATGAGGAGCGGGCCTGAGCCATCAGTCAGACATTCCTGAGGGCTCCTGGACTGCGAGAGGGTGCAGGCCAGGCTGAGGGACACCCCCGAGGGCACGAATTTTGTGCGCCAGACCTCTAGTATTAAATATATGTAGTTTATTATGTCAGTTATACTTCAATAAGAGTATAAAAATAATTAGCAAGGAAAAATGTTTTAAGACATTAAAACACAAAAAAAATCCTTGTTATAATCAAGTAGTGTCTACACCTGGGACATTATATGAGTTCATTCATCCATTCATTCAGCATTTTTGAACATCTGCTGTGTACCAGGCACTCTGCTGGAAACAGTGTTAAACAAGACAGACATGACCCCTACTCTAGGAAGGTTACATTCTGATAGAGGAGACAGATCAAAAAGTAATAATAGTAAAGTGTGGTAAGTGTTATGACAGGGAAAGTAGGGGAAGCTTTGGGAAACATTTAAGAGGATAATCTAAGCTGATTATTTGGTAGTGTGTATATGCCTACTATGTGTTGAAAAGGATTCTGAAGCTTAGGAGGATCCCACGTATGAGGATGGGTACTGATGGTGAGTTCCATGCATTTACCAATATGAGGAGGCCATACTGTTAAAGTTGGCCTTATAAATTTCCCAATAGTACGACTATTTCGACTGGTTCTAAAAATGTTCAAGAATAATTCAAGAACTTTTATTATAGCCCAGTTTTTATCTTCAGAGAAGCATTTTTAATGTAAAGTGTTTATTGTTGGGGAAACATCAACCTTCCAGACTGTAGTATAGACCGAGGACAAGTGCTTTTTTGTTCTCAAAAGTTCTGTTTTCAAGTGAGTTTTCCCCCCCATTTATGTGAGTGTGCTTGAGCCTATGCTAAGGGTACTGCAGCTGGATTGTGTAGTGGAATCAGGTTTAGAAAAAGAATTGCTCAAGAATGCAAGTAAACAGGATGTCAGATGTTATCCTTAGCCTATTTCCCTAAACATAACTTTTTGGCTGCAAAGTAAAATGCCATTCCTTTCGCTTCTGACTATATACAGTGATGGCTGACAGCAGGCACAATCTTCATTTGCTTGGCACGGTGTCACCATGCAACTCAACATGTTTTGCAAGCAATGATCATAACCCACCATCTCTGTGAGACGGAGATTTGGCCATTTCATGGAATAATTTTATGAACCTACCTTCTTTGAGCCATTTTGTGCCAGCAGAGCTCCCCATGAGGCTCAGATCTGTCTGACCTAAGAGCCAGTTGGCATCTTCCTCCTGACAGAAGCCAGATTTTCACTGGGGCTAGACTATTTATTGACAGCATTTTCCCAGACTGGCCCAAGAGTGTCTCATTTTCAAGGTCCCCTGAAGTGCTGGCTCACCTCTGTTTTCCAAGAGTGCTTGCTTCCTTCTTTCGCCTCCCTCCCCAGCATCCTCCTCACTTCCTTCCCTTACAGCTTCTTGCATTGTTTCCCCCCACCCCCTTGGTGTGTGTTCGTGTGTGTATTTCTTCTTTTTTTATTCTAATGAATTTGTTTTGCAGATTTTGAAAAAGAAATCCAGTGTTATCCAGGGTTTTTACATTAATTTTCTTCCCATATCTTTGAGTGTGATCTCTGTGGTTTTAAAATCCCTTAATTTGAGTGAGTTCCAACGTTGTCTAAGAAAGTTGTTTTAAAGCTTTGCTCTGCAAGCACCAGAAGAGAACTCATAAAAAGGAAGACAACAGCAGATGCAATCGCGGATGTGGCTTCGTCCTTGCAGCTGCCCCAGAGAGCTGTTCCGAGTGTACAGTTCTAAGGAATGAATCCAGAAGAGCAAATCGTGACATGGCTTATATCCTTGGGAGTTTTAGATTCTCCCAAGAAAACTATCTGTGATCCAGAGGAGTTCTTGAAGTCCTCGCTGAAAAATGGGGTAGTGCTGTGCAAACTGATCAACAGACTGAGGCCTGGCTCTGTGGAAAAGGTAAGGGACATTTACAGTATCTTTAGGAGTGCTAACTGTGAGAGAGCAGCAATAATGTAATGCTTGAGATTTTCTGTTGTCCCGGTCTTGGGTTTCTCCTACTTTAATCTCTTTCTAAGAGTTGAGTTGGATATTCTTTCTTACTGTTTTTGTAGTTTGAAAAAGTCAGAACATGAAATGTTATCCTTTAGTAATTGGCCACCAAATACTAGCATTAGAAAAAAATTCTTAAGCCACTGATACGAGGGGACAAAGAGAACACCCATAACACAAGCTTATTCTAAAAAAACACCGAACCTGCCAAGCTTATTCTGTCATAGAGATACGTGACGTCCCTGTGTACCGAGGACATGTTTTAAACTTGGGGTACATATGAGTCTGTGAAATAATGGGATGATTTATAACAGATGTTGATGGTGTTTAGTGACAGTTTGACTAAAATCAATGTAGATTTTATTTCCAAAAAGAATAAAATATCCATTGAAAGAGAGCCTATTTAGCAATTAGGAGAAATAATCCCAAATGGCATTATAGGTTTGTTAAAACAATAAAAACCAAATATATGTTTCAAGTACATGTGTTCAAAGTGAAACTACCCTTATTCTCTTTTAAAAAACCAAAACTTTTAATGTTGGAAACCCATGGTCACGAGAATGGATAATTTTCAAAACAGGCAATTTAAGTCAGTTTAA